TCTCTCTCTCTTCCATCTCCGCCCCATTTTTCCCTTCTCACTTCCCCTTCTCCTTCCCTGCCCTTCTCTCTCTTTCCCCCTCTCCACCCCCACTCTCTTCCCCTTTCCCTTCTCACTCTTCCCCTCTCTCTACTCCTTTTTCCTTTCCCTTCTCTTTCTCTCACCAAAAAAAAAAAAAAAAATGGTGGGGACTCGCAGGAACCAAAGGATTCAGATGAGAAAGGATCTGGTAGGGAGGAGTGGATGGAGATGGAAAAAGCCCCCCAAAGTTGGAAAAAGGTTGGAACAAGAGTGGAGATGAGAAAATTACGAGGAAAGCTTTCTGAAAAAATGGGAAAGAGCTCTCTGTGAAATTGGAAACGAGGTTGGAGAAGGAGACAAAGAATTGGGAAGGCACAAGTCGGAAAATCTGCAGTTAGCCAAGATAGGGGTCCTAAGAAGTTGAGATAAATAGGCTGAAGGCGAGTTACAGGGGGCAGTGACCAAGAGAGACACGACATGTAGAAGCTGCGAGCCGAACAGGAAGGAACGGAATTATGAATTATATGTAAGGTCATATCAGCCTGAAGAAGGGACAAGGAGTGAAAGGGAAGAACAGCTGGGTTGCAGATGGAGAGGGTGATAGGTCGAATGTTGTGGCACAACCATGCTATCATGAGCACTGGAAAAATCAAGGGAGAGAAACTGACCCAAAATACAGGCAGGACCAGAGTCACGGGGGTTGAGGCGATGGGAGGAGGAAAGGCAAATCAGGCTTATCCCATGGGCTTAGGAGTGAGAGAGTGGAAGGACCACACACTGAAAGGCCATGCAAGGAATAAAGAAAGGAGGATTGAGAAAAATACATCACGAAATAGGTGAAGAGAGGACGAGATTGTAAATTTTCAGAGAATAGGGGGGGTACTCGAGAAGGGGAGAAACGACCAATCAAGCTGATTCTCAGGACGGAAACAGCGCGGAGCAGGATCTCCAAGAGAACCACGATTGAATAATACTCGGAAGGAGTACAAGCGGGTGTTCCTAGACAGAGACAGAACACCCAAATCAGAACGACAGCAGCTGAGGGAGAGGACAAAAAAAAACGAAAGGAGCTAGGAAAAGAGACAAGGATGGGAAACCAGCAGAGGTCTGAGCAGATACAGAACAGCAGGGCAAGACAACACAACTATTCTCTCAGAACATACAAACCTATTCACACATCCCAAACACCATCATACAATCCATTACCCACAGTAGTCTCAACCCAACACCGAAGCATAGGAATCCCACTGTATTGCTACCAGGTCTCCCACCCTCAAGGCCCCCAAACCACAGTGTTGGAAAGGAAACTGAGGTTTTGGTTTACACAAACACTGTTGGTAATAACAAATAAGGGGGGAGGGAGTGGCATGGAAAGAGTCCAAAGAGGCTCACCTGTGACATTCATATGTCTCACAGAAAACCAAGCTTGAAGGTATGATACAGATGCCATCTTTCCAACGGGATCCTAATTCCTGGGAATGACAGGGGGAACAGGGGGGTGGGGAGTGCATGCTGATCAAATATCGCTGCGAATCTTGATGAGCTGGAGAGAGGAAGACAGCGGGAGAAGAAAGTGAATTACACAGCGGGAACGCTTCAATCTGGAGGGTCCAAGGTGGTAATAGCAGTGATGTATAACCACCACAGAACAAGCAGGAGGCCAGGCAAGAGATTCGACGAGAGCACATAGGTGAGCGATGGTATACACATGGCTACAGTGTGCCAGAAGAGCCCATGCTTTGCTGGGCAAAAGCTCCTGATCATGGGTGACTTTTATCCACAAGGAGATCGATTGGGAGAAACTTGGACCACATGGGGGGCAAGATACATGGAGGGCTTAAGATGATGGAGTGGTACTGGAAATTCATGTACCAAAACACGTAAGGGAACTACAAGAGGACGAGGGAAGATAAACAGCAAGGCGGGGACAGTCGTATTCACTTGAGTAGTGGCAGATATTGAGGATATCACATATGAAAGACCCTGGGGGCCAGTGACCATGTGGTTTTAAGCTTCGGAATACACAATTAAAGCTACAGTGGAGGGACGATGAGGGAAGGCCAGGACGAACTTGAAGCCCAAACTACAAGAAAGGGGACTAAACAGGGGGAATGAGGAACTTCCTGTACTGGGTTCAGTGGGACAGAGCAACGGCAGGGAAGCCAGTTAATGAGATGCTGGAATTGTAGCCAACAAAAATTGCTAGGAGGCTGAGAGAGGTTCGTACCCAAGGGTAACATTAATAAATTGAAAAAAAACCAGGGTGAGCCATGGTTTACCCAGAAGGTGCGGGAGGAAAAACCAAGTGTGCTAGGGTTAAATCGAAGGAAATATAGAAGGCTAAGGACCCAGGAGAACAAGGAGAGCAGTCGTAGAGCCAGAAACAGAAACGAATATACACAGTTTAAGAAGGGAAGCCCAAAGACAATATGAAATGACATAGCAGCGAAAGACCAATCTGACCCAAAACTGTTTGTACAGCCACATCAGGAGGGAAAACAAACAGCAGGACAGTTTAATCAGGTAGGAAGGAGGAGGAGAGACCAACAAGAAATGACGAGTTGAAAGTATGGAGGAATCAAACAAGAGTTTCAAAGAAGTGCTTCACAGAGGAGACAGAAGGGGCTCCAGAAGTCAGGAGGAGGTGGGCACACCACCATGTGCTGGAACACAGTGCACACAACCGAGGAAGAAGTGAAGGAATGGCTTCTGACGTGGGCTAGTTACCTCAAAGGCAATGGGGCCAGATAACATCTCCCCATGGGTATTGAGAGAGGGAGGAAAGGGCCTATGTGTACGCAGACGGAGTACTGTCTAGGGGGCCAGGGACTACAAACCTCACTCAAGGAAAAAGATCTTGTGGTGAGTAAAATACCAGGCAACATTCTCCGTGAAGCGCCACATCAAACAAATAATGTGAGATTATGGGCGCTAGAAACCTCAGAACCGCATTCGACATCTTATTAAGAATCGTTTCAGGACCTGTCCACCGTGTAGTTAGGCCATATTGAGTATACGGCTACCAGTTTTGGAAACATCCTAGCAAGCCGTAAAGAAATACTAGAGGAAAGTGCAATAGGTTTGCAAACAGACTGGTCCCAGAGCTAAAGTGGTATGTCCTACGAGCGAGAGGTTACAGGGAAATACCTGGACGGACATGGAGGAAGGTGAGATATTCAGGGGACATGATAACGACATACAAAATACTGATGAGAAATGACAAGGTTGGACAAAGACAGGATGTGATTCCAGAGATTGACTCAGTAACAAGGGGTCACAGTTGAAGTTGAGACACAGATGATAACAGGGGATGTTAGGAATTATTTCTTCAGCCACATAGAGTCAGTAAAGTGGAATAGTTGGGAATAGCGATTAGTGGAGGCAGGTCCATACTAGCTTTAAGCAGAGGTATGCTAAGCTCACGGATTCAGGGAGAGTGCAAGGTTTGCAAACAAGACTAGTTCCAGAGCTAAGTGGTATGTCCTCCGTGGACGAGGTTAAGGGAAATCAACTGACGACACTGGAGGACAGGAGAGTTATAGGGGACATGATAACGACTTACCAAAATAACTGAGAGAAATTGACAATGGTGGACAAAGACAGGATGTTCCAGAGATTGGAACAGTAGTAACAAGGGGACACGTTGAAGTGAAGACACAAATGAATCACAGGGATGTTCAGGAATTATTTCTTCAGCCACATAGTATGTCAGTTAAGTGGGAATAGTTTGGGAAGCGATTTAGGGGAGGCCAGTGATCATACATAGCTTTAAGCAGAGGTATGATAAAGCTCACGGTTCCGGGGAGTGATAGTAGCGATCAGTGAAGCGGGCGGGGCAGGAGCTCGGACTAGACCCCTGAAAACATCAACTAGGTGAGTACAACTAGGTGAGTGTACACACACACACACACGTACACACACACACGTACATCACACACACGTACACACACACACACACACACACACACACACTTCACACACACACACACACACGTCGTGCCGAATAGGTAAAATTGGTCAATTAGCAAGAACTCATTTAAAATTAAGTCCTTCCTGAAATTTTCTCTTAGACGTTTAAAGACATATATTTTTTTCCATTTATGTTAATGTAAAAAATAATAATTTTCTATTAAAAGAACCTTAGAAAACTTACTGACCTTATTACAAAAAGCGCCATTTAATTTAGCCTAATCCTACTAAATATATTTTAGATAAGTTTACAATAATATAATAAACAAACAATGAATTATATTTTTTTCGTTAGGTTCAGAATGATTTTTGCAAAATTATTGCATACACAAATTTTCGCTTGCCTTATTCGGCAAGAAGAGCGTTGCTATTTAATTAAGCCAAAATCTCAAGTTTTACCTCTTTACTACGACATATATATATATGTATTTATGTATACATAAAAGTGTATGATGAGATGTTGGATCTGATACAAAACTGGAGCAATTACAGTTCCTCTTTGATGAGGACAGTTTGTTAAGGGATTTTTAAAGTTGCAAAGGTATGTAAAAAAAAAATTAAATTAAAAGAAAGTGATGAGACAACGACAACAAAAAGTCTAGGCAATGATAGACTGAATACGAAATTGGATGGAGAAAGTATGGAGGAAGTGGATGTATTTGGACATTTGGGTCTATGAATGACTAGGTTAACTACAGAACACATGAGGGGGACAAAGGTGGGTGGCGTTTTGATGCATCGTTAAAAGAAAGTTTATCGATGGATGAAAAAAAAAGGAATGTACAAGAGAAGAATGGTACTAATATTTTCACATGTTTGAGAGTCGATTTTGAAAGTTGCAACGCAAAGGAGGCTAGAGACAGTGGAGATGTTATGTTGAAGAGTCATAGAATATTTGTTGTTGAGTATCATGTAGGAGAATTGGAGCCTAAGTATTAAAAAAATGCTGGGGCATGAGAAAATAATCACCTGGGATATGACGTCGGAGATTGGGATGGAATGTAACTCAC